CACCTGGCTGGGGCGGGGGAAGCCGGGGCACCGGGGCCGACACCTGGGAGCGCCGAAGGGGTGGGGTCGCCGGCGGCGCTTGGCCCCAGACCCGAGGTGGCGGCGCGTGATCAGCCCCTGGACAGGCTGCCAGCGCTGCGCACGTGGACACAGGGGCCCTGAAGGAGCCTGGGGAGCGACCAGCCGGGGGCGTTAAGTCGTCGGGCGACGCGCACTTCACTTGCTGCTAAGCCCCTGCCCGTGACGGGGCGGACTCGGGCGCTCAGCAGCTGCGGAACCACTGACCCACCTGGGCGTCCTCCTGCTCTTCCTGACGACAGGCTGGGTTTCAACGCACTGTGTGGCGCCTGCTGAAGATCTTTTGCTCTCTCGGCAGTGCCCTCAGATTCAAGGGCAAACTTCTTATGACAAGCGAAAAAAACCCTCTTAGACTCCATCCTCGACGCCCCCAGCCCCCCACTCTCACTCAGTGATATGGCTATTCTGTCTCGCACTTCAGAATTCCCTCTGCTGAGTCGCTCTTGGGCCAAACCATCTTATTTTTAAATAAAAATCCTGTTCTTTCCATTCATGTGTTCCCAAGGGTAAGTTTTTTAAAGTTCTCCGAGCCTCCTCCTCAGTAAAATGAAGAGACATATCTTGCAGGGATGTGGTAGTAAATGTGATAATATTTGTAAAGCAGCTAGCCCGGTCCCTCCTGGCAGACGGTGAGCATTCCACCTGGACCTCACCACTCCACCATGCACCTTGTTTGTCCGAATCTTGGACTTTCTTCTGCAGTCACCTCAGCTGTCACCTAATTGAAGACTTCCCTGATTATCCCAGGTACAGCTCCTGAAGTATTGCAATGTACAGTATTGTAATCATTTATATATCAGTCTCCCCTTTAATAATAATAGCTAACATTTATGAAGTGCTCAGTATTTTCCCAACACTTTATACATGTTACCTCGTTTAATTCTCACAATAACCCTATGAGATAGGGACTATTATCCCCACGTTCAGTTAAGGAAACAGGCAAAGAAAGGATAAGTAACTTGCTAATGTTTAGATAATCAGTAAAGAAGCAGAACCAGGAACCCACACTGTTAGCTGGAATGTTACACTGGGTAACATTCAACTGTGTTAACACTAAGGCTGGAGTCCTAGTGTCTTAAAAGAACTTCATTTTTAAGTTACCATCTACCAACCTCCTAGCCATTCTTCCACATTCATTAAAAAAACAAACAACACAGGGCCGGCCTGTGGCTCACTCGGTAGAGTGCGGTGCTGATAACACCAAGGCCACGGGTTCGGATCTTATATAGGGATGGCCGGTTTGCTCACTGGCTGAGCATGGTGCTGACAACACCAAGCCAAGGGTTGAGATCCCCTTACCGGTCATCTTTTAAAAAAAAAAAACAAAAAAAACAACACTTTAGAACTTGGTTGGTTGGTGAAACTGAGTTGAGCCAATTGCCAAACTTGCATCTCACCTAACATCATCATGGGCAGCCTTACTGGCCATGTGGATGACCCTGGCCTCCGTGTGCTTAATAACCTTAATCTACATGCCACACCTTGGACCTTGTCACCTGAAACTTTGTGACTTCTAAATCCGAACTGCAAGTGAGGAGACTTCTGTTCCCTAGTCTATTGTGTCTATGTTCAGCTAACCCAAGTCTCGGTCCCTTGGTGCCCCTCTGCTGTGGATTGATTGAATTGTGTCCCCAAAGTTCATATATTAGAAACTTAGGGGCCGAGCCCGTGGCGCACTCGGGAGGGTGCGGCGCTGGGAGCGCAGCAGCGCTCCGCCGCAGGTTCGGATCCTATATAGGGATGACCACTGCGCTCACAGCGCTCACTGGCTGAGCACGGTGGGGCCGGTCTCAAAAAGGACAAAAAAGAAAAAAAAAAAAGAAAAGAAACTTAGGGCCGACTCTGTGGCTCACTCGGGCGAGTGTGGCGCTGGGAACGCCGAGGCTGCAGGTTCGGATCTTATATAGAGATGGCCGGTGGGCTCACTGGCTGAGCGTGGTGTGGGCGACACCAAGCCAAAGGTTACGATCCCCTTACCAGTCACACACACACACAAAAAAAATAGAAACTTAATCCCCACTGTAACTGTTGAAGGTGGGAAATCCTATTATGGTAACTGAAAGGTGGGGCCTTGAAGAGGTGATTAGATTGTAGGACCATGCCTAAAATAAAAGTGAATGTATTAAAAATGGTGGCCAAGGACATGGTTCTGAAGGCTTTAAAAGGAGAGCACATGACAAGTTAGTCTTTCTCTGCTCTGCCATTTCTGCCATGTGAGACCTCTGGGTCACTGTTGCCACCACTAAGACCCTCACCAGCTGTGTTCCCTGGACTTTGGACTTCCAGCCACTGAAACTGTAAGCAATAAATTTCGTTTTCTTTATAAAATACCCAGTTCCATGTATTTTGTTATAAACAACAGAAATGGACTAATACACCCTCATTCCTTGCATTCTACCCTCTTAACTTTATTTCCTTGCCTGCTATGCCTAGAGCCCAATGATATTACCCTTTAACTTCTCTTGACAGCTCCTTTAATATCCTCACCTAGTGTTTCTCACACGTAGGCTCTCTTAACTTTGAATCAGTCCAACATATGCCCTTTCTCCTTTCCTGCACCTAGGTTACTGAAGGAAATCACTGCAAATTCATCTTCTGCAAATTTAGCTGGACTTTCAACACTGATTAGCAGTTATTTTATTTATCCTTGATATTTATACTTATCCTTCATAAGCCTCCTTCCATAATTTCACCACATTGTTCAAACTATCCACCCTACTGGCTTCTGCCATACTGCCTGCCCCCCCCCGCCCCCATATAGATACCTGTTGTTTTGCCTCTCACGGATTTGTCACCCCTTTTCCCCACCAAAGATTACTCAAAGCCCATCTTTCTGAGCAGTGAGAAGCCCCGAAAATGGGTTAATCTCTTGGAACCCTCAAGAGAGAGGCACTCCTTCCATTTGGGAAATTAACCCTGAGTTGGGGTTCTCTTCCCACATTTGTTCTCCAGACCAGGAAGTTACAGGAAGAGAACATAGGTGGGGTTTTTGCTAAGTATAGTTTAACAAGTTTAACAATAGAAGCTCATAACATTCAGTAAGACAAGCAAGGTGACCTTCCAAAATGCAATTTGCAACAAAAGCTTGATTTTAGCAAACATTCTCTTCTTACAGCAATTTCCCAGTATCTTTACATATCCGTCAGTAACCTGTCTGTCTTTGAGCCAGCAACCTTGCAGTGTTACAATTCTTTATCTTACCACAGAGACTATAGCCTGGGGAAATTTTCCTGTCCTTTGCAAGGTCAATATTTGAAACTACAAGGCTTTGGAAAACCAGGCCCTGTGAAGTACATTTGCTTTATGCATACTCCACAGATACACTTCTACCTGTCTACACCTTCTGTACCCTATACAGTTCTTTATTTGCTCACAGCAGAATTCAACTGGCAAACTCAAACAAAATAGAG